GAACGGAAACAGTGAACATAAGAGAACTGGGATGCCCACTCTCACACACACACAAACACCCAAACACATAAGAGGGAAGCCGAGGGCAGTGCCTGGTTACTCTGTGCCAACATGGCCACTCCAGATGAACAGGTGTGTGTCACTAGCGCTCCTGTCTGTCGCCAGAATGGGACATAGAGGAGTACTGGATAGAAGGTTATGAAAAACAACTAGGCCTATACCGCTCTGTTACATTTCCCTGACCATTTGTAACACAAATTGGTTACACTTTATATTACAGTGCCCTTATTACTGTGTCATTTCCTGTAATTGTAATTACTCACTATTACACTGTACTTAAGAGTTACTTAGGGTTAGAGTTAGGGCTTAAGTAAGGTTTAGGGTTTAATGAGTAATTACAATACTTCTTACACTTTAATTACATTAGTAGTTAGACAGTAATAATGGCACTGTAATGTAAAGTGTTACCCATAAATCTCATTAGCTCTCAATGTATTCTGTGATTCTGTGTGCCATCCTATTCCTATTAAGGGTAGAATGACATTTCATTCCATCCCCTGTAGACCTATACAGATGCAGTGATATGGAAACGTGGGGTTGGCCCATAAGCGGGCATACTTTACTTGAAGTTGTAGAGATACCATATAATGTACATACCACATATACTACCATGTAGTTACACAGGATTGAAATGTATTGGTATTAAATGTAATTACATGAGAATTTGGTGAGTTGTGAAGCTACCGTCTAAAGCGGAGTACTGTAACTCAGTGTTTCTCAATCCTGGTCCTAGGGACCCAAACGGTTGCACATTTTTGTTTTTGCCCTAGCATTCACACACTTCATTCAACTAATCAACTCATCATCAAGCCTTTGATTTGAATCAGGTGTGTTAGTGCTATAGGGCAAAAATAAAAATGTGCACCCCTTTGGGTCCCTAGGACCAGGATTGAGAAACACTATGAGCAACAACATTTTGGTTACCAAAGTAGTTATGGAATAACTATATTGAAATTAGGGCAAGGTAATGTAAAGTGTTACCCATTTACCTTGACTTTTTATAGTGTGTAGGCCTACATGTTCAAGCTGCCAGAATCTCAAAATCATTGAGACATTATCCAGAAAGAGCAGAGCTTAGCTAAGCTTTTCCTCCCTTTGAACATGAGTCGTCTTGAGCTACCATTGACAGCAGTGAGTGTGCATACAAAAATATGCTTGCCATATTTCTTCAGAACATTTAAACTGACACATAGTTAAAGGTATAGTTCACTCAAAAACAATATTTTATTATGTTGTTCATTAGTCCACGGTTAATGCAATCCCAAACAATAGTGCATGTCAGCAGTCACGTTCCCAAGACAGAGCACTTTCAGTACAGAGCAAAAACTGTAATGTGTTTTACATCATATGTATTAATAACTATAGCTACATGAATAGCTATACGGTATAAGGCACCATCTATATAGTGTATGGCAGGATCGGTATTAAGAGGTCATAGAGCAAAAGCTTATGTAAGCAAAGACTTATCAAGATCAAAGATCAAGGCCATATCTACAAGGGGCCAACCAAGACACAGCTGACTTGAAAGCTTCTAAAAAATGAAGGCATTTTCAGTTATAATATGGTTGCAGAAACATTGTAAAATGTGTCATTTAGAAAACTCATGCAATGGTTAACCGTTTGGTCTGAAATGATTAACCTTTGGTTGCATGAGGTTTGAAAATGAAAAACACATTGGGATGAAGTGTGGAAGGGATTAGGTGATTGTAAAACAAAAACATTTTATTGGGATTCTTATTGACTGTACAGATTATACACTGTCAATATCCAACTGTACAGTTGTATTAATGATTATTTTAGTCACCAATTATACACATACAGTGGGGGAAAAAAGTATTTAGTCAGCCACCAATTGTGCAAGTTCTCCCACTTAAAAAGCCTGTAATTTTCATCATAGGTACTGTCAACTATGACAGACAAAATGAGGGAAAAAAATCCAGAAAATCACATTGTAGGATTTTTAATGAATTTATTTGCAAATTATGGTGGAAAATAAGTATTTGGTCAATAACAAAACTTTCTCAATACTTTGTTATATACCCTTTGTTGGCAATGACACAGGTCAAATGTTTTCTGTAAGTCTTCACAAGATTTTCACACACTGTTGCTGGTATTTTGGCCCATTCCTCCATGCAGATCTCCTCTAGAGCAGTGATGTTTTGGGGCTGTCGCTGGGCAACACGGACTTTCAACTCCCTCCAAAGATTTTCTATGGGGTTGAGATCTGGAGACTGGCTAGGCCACTCCAGGACCTTGAAATGCTTCTTACGAAGCCACTCCTTCGTTGCCCGGGCGGTGTGTTTGGGATCATTGTCATGCTGAAAGACCCAGCCACGTTTCATCTTCAATGCCCTTGCTGATGGAAGGAGGTTTTCACTCAAAATCTCACGATACATGGCCCCATTCATTCTTTCCTTTACACGGATCAGTCGTCCTGGTCCCTTTGCAGAAAAACAGCCCCAAAGCATGATGTTTCCAACCCCATGCTTCACATAGGTATGGTGTTCTTTGGATGCAACTCAGCATTCTTTGTCCTCCAAACACGACGAGTTGAGTTTTTACCAAAAAAGTTCTATTTTGGTTTCATCTGACCATATGACATTCACCCAATCCTCTTCTGGATCATCCAAATGCACTCTAGCAAACTTCAGATGGGCCTGGACATGTACTGGCTTAAGCAGGGGGACACGTCTGGCACTGCAGGATTTGAGTCCCTGGCGGCGTAGTGTGTTACTGATGGTAGGCTTTGTTACTTTGGTCCCAGCTCTCTGCAGGTCATTCACTAGGTCCCCCCTTGTGGTTCTGGGATTTTTGCTCACCGTTCTTGTGATAATTTTGACCCCACGGGGTGAGATCTTGCGTGGAGCCCCAGATCGAGGGAGATTATCAGTGGTCTTGTATGTCTTCCATTTCCTAATAATTGCTCCCACAGTTGATTTCTTCAAACCAAGCTGCTTACCTATTGCAGATTCAGTCTTCCCAGCCTGGTGCAGGTCTACAATTTTGTTTCTGGTGTCCTTTGACAGCTCTTTGGTCTTGGCCATAGTGGAATTTGGAGTGTGACTGTTTGAGGTTGTGGACAGGTGTCTTTTATACTGATAACAAGTTCAAACAGGTGCCATTAATACAGGTAACGAGTGGAGGACAGAGGAGCCTCTTAAAGAAGAAGTTACAGGTCTGTGAGAGCCAGAAATCTTGCTTGTTTGTAGGTGAACAAATACTTATTTTCCACCATAATTTCAATTTGTCTGTCATAGTTGACGTGTACCTATGATGAAAATTACAGGCCTCTCTCATCTTTGTAAGTGGGAGAACTTGCACAATTGGTGGCTGACTAAATACTTTTTTCCCCCACTGTATTTACGTAGTTTATACAATAAAATATACAGCAATTTGTTAGTGTATATTTCTCGAAAGTCCATTTGGTCTCAAAATATCATTATTTTCCACAAACTAGACTCATAGTTATCCTAATAGCAGGTCTATGTTTACTTCCTGGAAAGTCTCATGATGATGCAAAACCAAATTGATGCGCAAAACACATCATCATGAGACTTATTGCTCTTGCTAAATTTTGGACATCAGGAGACTAAAAGCAACATATCTTTAAAAACTTAAATTGACATGCTCTATTTTATGGGACTGTAGGCTATCAAAAGTGAAGAATAATTGAAAAAATAGTTTTTAAGTAAAATGCCACTTTATGATGGCTATTAATTTACAGGGAACAATCTAACATTATGGCACTGTATCTTGGCATATTGGTTACTGCCAACAGACAACCAACCCACAAAAACAACAACAACGGTTGATAACCATCAGATCTGAAACTTTGACCACAGGGCATGTTTGTACTCGTTCCAATCATAGCACTGAGACACGGCTCACGTAGCATGGTTTAGCGCCGTAGCACGGTTAGCTGTGGGGTGAAGTTTCCCCTAGGTACAGATCTAGGATCAGCTTCCCCTCCCCCAATCCTAACCTTAACCATCAGTGGGGTGGATGCAACCTGACCCAAGATCAGCGTCTAGGGGCAACTTCCCCCTACTCATTTCAGCCCATTGACGTATACTTAGGGTTGCAAAGCTCCTGGTAATTTACAAAAGTAAATCTTCTGTAATTTATGTAATTATATTTGCAATATATGGTCACTTTGGCAATTTATACTTAAATAACTTTAAAAACTGTATTCAAACTTTAAAAACTGTATTCATGGTCAATATATGTGTCCATATTGACCATGAGTTTCTAGTGGATAGACCATACAGTTCAAGAGAAAATAGCCTAATGAATGAAAAAATAATCTAATCAACAATTGATTTTTTTTCTATTAACTTTCTATTAACAACTGCCACCAGTTTGGCACCAAAACATTTACAGTAAAGATACAGTATATTGACATAGTAAACTATATACATTTTACATTTTTAGTCATTTAGCAGACACTCTTATCCAGAGCGGCTTACAGTTAGTGAGTGCATGCATTATTTTTTTCTTTTTCATACTGGCCCCCTGTGGGAATCGAACCCACAACCCTGGTGTTGCAAACGCCATGCTCTACCAACTGAGCTACATCCCTGCCGGCCATTCCCTCCCCTACCCTGGACGACGCTGGGCCAATTGTGCGCCACCCCATGGGTCTCCCGGTCGCGGCCGGCTACGACAGAGCCTGGATCAGGATCCCAGTGGGAAACGAACCCACAACCCTGGCCTTGCAAGCGCCATGCTCTACCAACTGAGCTACAGGGGACTAAATCCTACTTAACCCATAAAACTGACAGTTTGATTCTTATGCCTACACTGCCCCGTTGTGGTTTCTAACAGGGCAGCAGCTCATTACAGTATCATTCACACAAACAGGGAAGGGGTTTGGGGTGGGATGTGTGGGTTTGTGTTGTATTAAAAAAAACAGGAAATTAGTAAAGACGGGAAAGCCCCTCTTAGTACTCGTCTGCCTGGGTCGCCATCTTGTAGCCGTTCTCGTTGGAAACATAGCCCTCCCCCGACTGCACCGACTCCTGGTCCATCAACCCATCCTGGCTGTTCTCCTCTGGCTTGGGCGGCGGTTCGCCCTCCTCCCCGTTACCCACGTCGTCCTGCTCGGCCGAGGGGAGCAGGAGAGAGCCATGCCGGTCCTCCCAGCGCTCCCCACCACCCCACTCCCTGTTTCTCTTATGCTCCCTGTCTTTCTGCTTGTCCCCCCTGTGCCTCTCCCGGTCCCTATCGCGGTTCTTGTCCCTGTGGCTGCGCCTCCGGTCGCAGTCCCTCTCCCTGTCCCGCTCCCTCCCTCCCGCCACGCTCCTCTCCCACCTCTCCCCCTTCCTCACCCACGCTAGGCTCTACAGGCATCCTCTCTCCTCCATCCCCCATCATACCTTCTCCTAGCCCCATGCCCTCATCCCCCTCGCCACCCTTGCCCCTCTCCCGGTCTCGCTTGCGCTCTCGGCTGCGGCTCCTCCTCTTCCTTTCGCCCTTGTCTCTGCTCCTCTCCCTGCTACGACTATCTCCCCATGCCCCCCCGCTCCCTCTCTCGGTCTCTCCTCCTGCCACCCCCTACGCTCTCCTCTCCGGGCCCTGCCAGGCCCAGACCCCTGTCGCCCCTCTCCCTCTCCCTGGAGCGGGAGCTGCGCCTTCTGTTGTGTCATAATTCACGCGAGCCACAAACAGGGTCTTGAAGGCATCCCCCTGAGCATTGGGGTCATTGTGTGGATCCCAGAGCTTTAGTTCTGTCTCCACAACCGTCTGCCTCCTCTCGATCTTCTCCCTCCTCTTTCTCTCCAACCTCTCATCACGAGTTTCTGCCCTAGTAGGGGGAGGGGCATCTCTGGGGTCCTCAAAGTGCCTGATGAAGGGAGCAATGCCGCAGTATGGCTGGTTGTGGTGTTTCTCATGGGGCATCTTCTACAACTGCGTCAGAAATGGTACGGGGTCCCGTGGCGCAAATAGGGCCAGCAGGTTGGGGGGTAAAAACTGGGTCATCTTTCACCTCAACTCTTCATTAAATCCCTTTAAAACTCAGAGAGCCCGAATCAGGCAACGTGGAATAAGAGCGTGCACTCTCCTTGTTCAAAGCAAGTTGTTTTCCCACAGATGAATATACTTCAGCCAAAGCGAAAGATAATGTGGCTTAAACTTGGTTAGCTATATATAAAGGATATTTCATGCTGAAACCCTCATATTAAACACCAATTGTATTCACTAAGTTGATGGTTTATACAGCTTTGTTATTTAAAAAAAAAAAACATTTTATTAGATTATTTTATACATGTTATACAGTGGGGAGAACAAGTATTTGATACACTGCCGATTTTACAGGTTTTCCTACTTACAAAGCATGTAGAGGTCTGTAATTTTTTATCATAGGTCCACTTCAACTGTGAGAGACGGAATCTAAAATAAAAATCCAGAAAATCACATTGTATGATTTTTAAGTAATTAATTTGCATTTTATTGCATGACATTAGTATTTGATCACCTACCAACCAGTAAGAATTCCGGCTCTCACAGACCTGTTAGTTTTTCTTTAAGAAGCCCTCCTGTTCTCCACTCATTACCTGTATTAACTGCACCTGTTTGAACTCGTTACCTGTATAAAAGACACCTGTCCACACACACTCAATCAAACAGACTCCAACCTCTCCACAATGGCCAAGACCAGAGAGCTGTGTAAGGACATCAGGGATACAATTGTAGACCTGCACAAGGCTGGGATGGGCTACAGGACAATAGGCAAGCAGCTTGGTGAGAAGGCAACAACTGTTGGCGCAATTATTAGAAAATGGAAGAAGTTCAAGATGACGGTTAATCACCCTCGGTCTGGAGCTCCATGCAAGATCTCACCTCGTGGGGCATTAATGATCATGAGGAAGGTGAGGGATCAGCCCAGAACTACACGGCAGGACCTGGTCAATGACCTGAAGAGAGCTGGGACCACAGTCTCAAAGAAAACCATTAGTAACACACTACGCCGTCATGGATTAAAATCCTGCAGCGCACGCAAGGTCCCCCTGCTCAAACCAGCGCATGTCCAGGCCCGTCTGAAGTTTGCCAATGACCATCTGGATGATCCAGAGGAGGAATGGGAGAAGGTCATGTGGTCTGATGAGACAAAAATAGAGCTTTTTGGTCTAAACTCCACTCGCCGTGTTTGGAGGAAGAAGAAGGATGAGTACAACCCCAAGAACACCATCCCAACCGTGAAGCATGGAGGTGGAAACATCATTCTTTGCTTTTCTGCAAAGGGGACAGGACGACTGCACCGTATTGAGGGGAGGATGGATGGGGCCATGTATCACGAGATCTTGGCCAACAACCTCCTTCCCTCAGTAAGAGAATTGAAGATCGTGGCTGGGTCTTCCAGCATGACAACGACCCGAAACACACAGCCAGGGCAACTAAGGAGTGGCTCCGTAAGAAGCATCTCAAGGTCCTGGAGTGGCCTAGCCAGTCTCCAGACCTGAACCCAATAGAAAATCTTTGGAGGGAGCTGAAAGTCTGTATTGCCCAGCGACAGCCCCGAAACCTGAAGGATCTGGAGAAGGTCTGTAGGAGGAGTGGGCCAAAATCCCTGCTGCAGTGTGTGCAAACCTGGTCAAGACCTACAGGAAACGTATGATCTCTGTAATTGCAAACAAAGGTTTCTGTACCAATTATTAACTTTTCTGATGTATCAAATACTTATGTTATGCAATAAAATGCAAATTAATTACTTAAAAATCATACAATGTGATTTTCTGGATTTTTGTTTTAGATTCTGTCTCTCACAGTTGAAGTGTACCTATGATAAACATTACAGACCTCTACATGCTTTGTAAGTAGGAAAACCTGCAAAATCGGCAGTGTATCAAATACTTGTTCTCCCCACTATATGTGATACGGCCACACAGAGGGCCAGAGATAATTACAGACACCTGTGATAATCTGAAGTAGCCAAAATGGCCACTAAATGTCATCTGAAATAAATAAAAAATTACTTGAAAGTTACCAATATTCTGGTAGTTTTCTGGTAAACTTAGAACGTTTCCAGTCATATACCCTCCCTTTGCAACCCTACATATACTACTATAACCCTGAGTGACTAGTGCTCAAGGGGCGAGAGAGAGGTCCATCTGACAGCTGGTTAAACTGTAAGGAAAATGTCATTTTGCTGAATAGCTAATGAGGTCCTCCAGGGAAAATGTGAGCCTATTTATACACACAATGTTTCAACTGTAACTCATTACAGAGACCCAGCACATGCACAGCCTACTCTAGGCAGACAAATATGCGCTTCTCTTTGATCAATACAGCTAATTAAAAAGACAATCGCTACTGACATTCAAATTGAATGGCCGTGGAGCCCAGTCCAGGTAGGGAATGTAACGAGATGTATAGATTTTCATAAGGCAGGGGAGGTTAGTGCAGAATGGATGGAGGGGTTGGGGGTATTCTTGAAACCAGTCTACCAGTTAATCTGACCATGCTTTAATGGGTAGACAATCTCAGAGAGAGAGAGGAGAGAGAGAGAGAGAGAGAGAGAGAGAGAGAGAGAGAGAGGTATTGTACTTTACAATGATGATGATGATGATGTTGTGGGACGTGTGTACAGTATGTCAATGTGGGAAATCAATAAACAAAAATATATAACTATTGACAATTTAATTATAATATGACATCAGAGTTTAAATGTCCCTTGGTTCTACACTATCTGACATCTTAAGAGTCGGAATGTCTTAATGTTCACATGACTGGTTTGCCTTTGGCCACTTTTTCCAGATTTGCCTTGAAGCTAGCAAAGGTACTGCACTCTCTGACACTAGTTGGCAGGGTGTTCCATAATCCAGACGCTTTGACTGAAAAAGCAGTCTGGCCAAATCTGGTGGACGTAAACTGAGTTGAGCATTCCCCTCTGGTTGAAGCTCTTGTCCTCCTGGTATTGTCCTTGCAATATGTAACAAACTGCTTTAGAGGTGGTGGGGCAAGGTCATGAGTGATCTTAAACAACAGAGGTGTCAGCAAGGCATAAAAAGCTGTCAAAGCTCAGTATTGTATTTCTTAATGATATTGCAGTGTTGATAGGTGTTTGGTTTTTTGTCCAGCAATTTCAGTTTGTTTATAGAGCTTTTGAAGTGGTTTCATTGCTGTGATACTAGCTTGTGAGTGTGACCAGGTTGTGACACAGTACGTTGTTACTCTACAATGATATCATACGAAAGGTCAAAAAGGTTTCCTGTGCCTTTTTGCATGTTATCAGTGACGTGGTTGTTAGGTCTTCTGAATATTGAGACATAACATTCAGAGAAAACGTGAAGGGATGGTGTCAACTATTGGGACCAGTGATGATATTGCAGCCTCTCCTGTGTTACTAGAAGACTGAGGAGAACTGACAAGTATTAAACCTACTAACATGATCTAACATAATCCTATGACAAAGTAGGTTACGTCCCAAATGCCACCCTATTCTCTACATAGTGCACTACTTTTGACCGGAGCCCATTTCTCTCTGAAACGGGCCAAGGGAGACTTCATCTATAAAGATGCCTAATCTCAAGGAATTTGTCCTGCTCACACATTTCTGAACAAATCAAACAAATGTGCCAGTACTGTATGACGTGTGAGGGCTCTTCACTAAAATGCATTACATTATGGAGAGGTTAAGGATGTTCCATTGGTGGCTGTAGGGTTGCCTGATGAGCTGTGTTCTGCTCACGTATAGGGTAATGCTGTGCTACCCTCAGTGCACTCAGGGTCCTTCCCCGGCGTTTGCTGCACTCAGAAAGGCTCAGCTCGTGGAGACGGGATGAGACGAGAATGTGAGATGGCATGGCCGAGGGCTGATCTGAGCTCTGTGCGGAATTGTTTGGAATCTCCTCGCGGTTGTGTGCACTGACCCCTTTTCGTGGCTTTATATACCAACTCATCACTCTTCTAGCCCTATTTCCCGTTCTCCAAGACGTGAAGGGGAGGGAGAGCCGAGTTAGGGGAAAAAGGGAAGCACCTGCCCTCTCCCCATATGTTTTGAGAGTTCTACTTTCATTCCATTTTTGACTAATGTACAGAAATATTTTATTTCTGATGATAAATGCAATAGAAGTTGAGGTGCATTATAAAACTAATAATTTACTGTAAATCCATTCAAATCAGTGTGACGTTTCAGTCATAGATCTTCATGAAACAGAGAATTATAGAACCTGGTGATAAATGCAGCCATGTACTTCTGCATTTGGTAGGCTTCTTTCCGGTGACGTTGACTTTTTCCACATTTTGTTACGTTACAGCCTTATTCTAAATCGGATTAAATAATTTTTTTCCCTCATCAATCTACACACAATACCCCATTATGACAAAGCAAAAACAGGTTGTAAGACATTTTTGCAAATGTATACAAAAACAATAACAGAAATATCTAATTTACATATATTGTATTCAGACCCTTTACTCAGTACTTTATTGAAGCACCTTTGGTAGCGATTTCAGCCTTGAGTCTTCTTGGGTATGACGTTACAAGCTTGGCACATCTGTATTTGGGGAGTTTCTCCCATTCTTCTCTGCAGATCCTCTCAAGCTCTGTCAGGTTTGATGGTCTCTCCAGAGGTCTCTCCAGAGGTGTTCGATTGGGTTCATGTCCGGGCTCTGGCTGGGCCATTCAAGGACATTCAGAGACTTGTCCCAAAGCCACTCCTGCATTGTCTTGGCTGTGTGCTTAGGGTCGTTGTCCTGTTGGAAGGTGAACCTTCGCCCCCAGTCTTCAATGCTGCAGACATTTTTTGGTACCCTCCCCCAGATCTGTGGCTCGACACAATCCTGTCTCGGAGCTCTACGGACAATTCCTTCGACCTAATGGCTTGGTCTTTGCTCTGACATGCACTGTCAACTGTGGGACTTTATATAGACAGGTGTGTGCCTTTCCAAATCATGTT